TAGATTAAACTTATTTATTGAACAATGAAAAAATGAAAAAAAATTGTTTGAGAAAAATTTTCATGTTACCGTGTTCCCGACATTTTTTTTTTTTTTTTTTTTTTTTTAGCTTTAAAAGAACGTAACAATACAATAGAAATGAATTGTTCTTGTGATTTTATAACTGTATAAAGGCGTATCTTAAAATAATTCTATTTTTTTATTATTTAGTCCCTTTGAATTATCAGATAGCAGTATTTGTCACAATTTATTTTGTTAATAAAACAAATTTCGAATATACCTGAATACGTGTTATCATGAAAAACAAATTAAATCATAGTTAAATAAATTAAGAAAATAATTAATAATACCAAGAGATAGTCATTAAATAATTACAAAAAGGACAGGAGATTCAAGAATAGCATATTAATCAATAAAATTAATTAATATCCTGTAAATAAGATAAAAAGAATGACAAAATGACTCAATGGTCCTTCTACTGTTAATTATGATGCGTGATAAACGTGATGTTAAAATTGGTGCCGAATTGCGAACGTTGTAGCAGGTTTAATTTGCATTTGTGCGCAGCAACGCGACTTTCTGTTATAAATATTAAATTTCATATCATTATAAATGTTGAATCACTTGTTACGGTAAACATTGAACGATGAAGAATTAAATAAGATTGTTTGACGAAATAAAGTTTAAAACTTTAACGAGAGATTTTATTTAATAATATTTTATCGAATTTATTGTAACATTTTCATAAATGAATGACGTAACGATGTAGTCATTAAAAACTACTTTAAAATAGATACAATTATAAATTTATAAACGATAAGACACTTCAATAGCATGTTACAACGTGTATTGTCAAATTTTCATTAATTATTTATATAAATACGATGATTCATTAGTCATAAAGTTATTTGAAATGTAAAAAAAAGAAAAAAAAAAAAGAAAAATAAATAAAACGAGATAATTCAATAACCGTGGTAACTTTAAATAACATGATTGATTATTCTATAATGTTTGTAATTTTTTTCCAAACGTTTTTAAACAAACTTTTTACATACAACAAAATTATGCATACACAATACAATCCGCATACATAATTATATACGGTACGTACGTATTTATAGAATTTTTTAAGTTCATTCGCGTAACTTTTTCACCCGTTAAGCAAAACTGTTTTATGGTAAGTTATAACGAAGAAATGAGATTATGGATTAGAAATTTTTGCCGAGTTGATATTACTTTCTTTTCTTTTTTTTTTGTTTGTTTACTTTCTTTCTTTTAATTTCTTTTATTTTTTTATTTTTTTTTTTTATTTTTTTTTTTTTATTCGACTATATCCCCAAAGTAATTCAAAATTATACGAGAGAAGGTGAATTCCGGGGGATAAGGGAAATGAGAACGGATCGTCGTTCGATTGGCAATTGGTCTACGTCGAATCAACGTAGTAAGAAAGTTTCAAAGACCCACTGAGAAGTCTATTTCGAACGGAAATTATCCCTCTTTGTGACGCTGAGGTACGCTGAAACGATCTTGTAATTACTGAACTGAATTCGATTACCCGTTTTAATGACAGCGATAAACAGAACTCGTTTGATATATTCCTCTTAACGCGTGTAATAATATCACCTTTGAAAATTATAACCTTGGAAAGTAATTCGAAACCCGGAGAAATTAGAAAATCTTTAGTGCATCGTTAGTTCCAAATATTAATCAACCGATCTTAAACGCTTTCGTGAATTTGTAATGAATACGTCCGCCGTGTTTTACTTCATTTACAATTAACTTTCATTTCTTCCTTACTTCATTGATTGAAACATCATTTAAAGTATATTGAAATAATGTTAATTGATAACTTTATTATTATTATTTCAATTTCACATAAAAATATAAAAAGTCGAGTGAACGAGTAGTTCGAAGTATTTGCATTTTTTTCTCTCTCGAAATAATTCATACTTCAATGTAAAATGATTAGATCAATAATTACGTAAATCGATTATGTGAAAAATCACGTTTAAAATCAAATTTAACAATTATTTCGTATTACATCGATGTACAATTGTTTCTTTGTGTGTGTGTGTGTATTAAAAAAAAAAAAAAAAAAAAAAAGTT